TTAATAAGGAAAAGATACAAACTCCTATAGTGAATAAAAGAAAAGGGTAGAAACTAACTAGGTGACTGGCAAGTTATTTCATAAATTTAGAGCTGATGAATATGATAGAGTCAAGAATAAGTGAGAAAAGATGAAGAAATTAGCTAAAATAGATAAATAGGTATTAATTCAAGAACCATTTATAGAACATTTTTCTATAATCTGCTACAAGCAGCATAAATTCCTACATGTACAATGATGAACAGGATAAACTAAACTTGAATTCAAAGTCCAGAACGGATAAGAAATAATTACCAAAAATATAATAAGACTTAAATATTTAGTTTAGAAAATACTTTCTTTAGGTAACATGTGAAAGTGTATAAACACAAATAAAAGTAAGCTCTGTGATATGAAAAGCTATGAATTACAAGGATAGATCACAAATATTTGGGCTCAAGGTTAAAGTGCACCTAGTTTTGAGGATCCCAGACAATTCTGTTTATGAATTATATGTATATAATATATTAAAAATTAAAACAGGAAAATGTTCAAATATATACTTAAATAGCCATAACAATCCCGCCATTATAAACATAAAACATTTTATGTAAAATAACTATATTTTCCAAAATAATAAGACATGCAGTCTTGTTTTACATTTCTAAAAATTTCTTTTACATCTGAGAAAGAGAAATACATTCTCATATCTGCTTCTACACTCGAACTATGGTGATATGTTGTCCTAACTGAAGTCTTTAAAGTACATATGACCTCATAAAGATATGTAATTGGAGAAGGAAGGACTTCATGATCCTAATAGGTTCTGGGAACTTGCAGGGGTTCTAAGACAGCATTTTAAGATTTGCTGAATTACAGAAAAGAACATCGTATAAAATCAAGTCAGTTCTCATTCTAGAAAGGAAAAGATTAGACTGAGCATTCACTTACCATATTTTAAAATACTAAACGAAAATTGGCTTAGCAACTTTATTCCTATACTAAAGGAATGTCAAAGGATTTCACATCTGTAATCCCAAAGATTTTTCTGAATGTGGTATTAAGTAATTTTTCTTCTGTCTGAGTGGGTAGATATAGCATCCCTGGACACCTTTAAGGGGCAGCAATCACAATTCAGCAAGCCAGTTGAATTGTTATCAAGAATATGATTAGAAGCAGGGCACAGTAGTGCATGCCATTCCAGCACTTGGGAGGAATAAGGCAGGAGTATCTTGAGTTCAAAGCCAGCCTGAGCTACATAGTAAGACTCTGTCTCAAAACACATATATATAAAGCTAGAAGCTGTGGGTATAGTTTGGGCAGTAAGTAGAGAGAGTGCTTAGCAGACCCTGGGTTTCATCCCCATAACAACGACAAAGCCTAAGACCCTCAGACCCTTTCTGAGGGGCTAGAGGTGTGGCTCAAGTGGTAGAGTGCCTAGTGTGATGCCCTGAGTTCAAACCCCAGTACCATTTAAAAAAAAACCCAAACTTAAATACAGCTTTATTATATTTAATTAATGAGGGTCACAAACTTACTTTTAAAATTATGCTCTAAAATGTCATAAACCTAATCATAATCCCAAAATATGAAAATAGATCCTACTTGCCTATTTGAAATAGTGAGTTTTTTCACTCCTACCAATGTATAATTCCTCACTGAAAACCAAGAATCTTAATTTCAACCTGCTTTGACATTCTTCTATAATAATTGCATAGAATAATTTGCCTTTACATGACTATAGGAGATTTTTCAAAGTGTATTCACTATACTATGAGCCCTAAAAGGTAAGACCTGCTCTATTTCTCTCAATATCCTTGGTGTTTTACACAACATAGTACAAGCTCAATTCCTATTTGAGCCAGTGGTGAATGACAAAGAGCTAACAGAAAAACTGTGGGATCTAAACTCAGACCAAATAAGATGAATGATGTCTGCACAGAAGGGCTGATGATAATTAACTGAAGTAATAATAAAAAATAAAATTGGGTGGGTTTATACTAAACTAAATTTATGAACAATCAGCAATCTAGGACTTGGGCAAGCTACCATCCCAAGCAAATAGATGTAGTAATTACTGGAAGTGTCTGAGCCTCCGCATCTTCTTTCCATGTGGAAGACAGACTTTCATTGAAGAACACAACTGGGGATGGAAAGACTTGGGTTTCTGGCGCCAATCAAGCCAGTGGGTTGAGGAGGCAGAAAAACAGTAACTCCTCTTTATGGACAAACTCTTGGAGTCACAAAAATGCTTCTAAACACTTCTTAAATGGAAAGGGAATAGAATTATTTAAGAGATTCTAGAAAAGACTACTTTACCTGAAATATTTCCCCAGTGCTTTCTGTATTACTTATTCACTTAAAATATTGAATTTGTTTTAGTTACTAATACATGGTCCCTTCCAGCGCTAATTGATAAATTGACACTAACAATAAGTGTCAATAAATGCTAACCTCTCTTCCCACTGCCGTGATCACATTACCTAAGAAGTATTGCTAATCCAGATATATATACAACATTTAACATCTAATACCCAATTCTAGGCCCATCAGTCTTTCCATCATATTATGCTTCTGAATTCAGGGAATTGCATATTCACGTGTCTAGGGTAGGATAAGGTAATGTTATGTAATATAGGTAATATAAATGAGTGTGATTGGTTATAAAGCAATAGGGGATCATGGAGACAATGTCAAATGTAGAGTGTGTACCCTATCTGGGGCAACCACTAAGTTACAGAGTATTGTTCCTATGCAGAAATGAGGACCCAATTTTGTTCAGACCTTCCAGTTTTTCAAGAAAGGACATAAATCCATACCTTAATGTACAATGAACCAAATTTTTAAGCATATCTATAGCTCAAAACTGTCTTTTTTTTTTTTTTGTCAATTTGTAGCCCCTAATCTAAATGAATGAGCCACATTGAAAATATGGAATGGGGCAAAGGAGAGGCCAATTTTGGATAGAAAGAGAGAGGCAGAATTAAAGGGGAAGAAATAACAGGGAAGAGGCATGGAAAGGAAGGTGGCAGTGAATCTTACCAATCTCAAAACCTTACCAATCTCAAAACCAAGCAGCCCCAAACTGCTTGTCTTCTAATCTGAGTGTAAAGAGTAAGAGAAGTCAAGAAGGAAAAAGAGTGGGGGATGGGGGCAGAAGAAAAGGAGTCACCTCTTGAGCACTTAGCAGATGGCAGACACTGCATCAGATGCTTTCAATATGTTGCTTTATTGGGACAGTGCAGGGAAAAAGTCCTACTCAAGGGCAAAGACTAGAAGGAAATGCATAAAAATATTAACAGTAGGGTTGTCAGGTTGTGAGAACACCTTTTCTATTTGAAGTATATAGTTGTTTAAGTTTAGAGTATAAATTTTTCTCGGTTAAAATCCACCCACTTTAGATTGTCAGAAGTACCCACAATAGGCTGGGGTGTAGTCAGTGGTGGAACAAAAACAACAAAAAGTACACTACCATAAATTAAGCCAAACTACATAATATTTAAATTTAAAAAAAAGTGACAATTTCAAGTATGTGTAATACTAAACTATCCAAATATAACCAGATGAAAGTAACTACACAGGTGAAGTCAACACAGATTGATTAAATAAGAACAGAAATATGTGAAAATCTTAAGAATGTAGTAAGTTATTTTCCCTCAGAGTTATAAAGTAAACTACCAAGAGGTTTTTTTGTATATGACCTACATAATTATAAAATATATAAAAAGTCCTCTTTCCTACCAAATTTTTAGACATCTGCCCCATGTTATAAACTTTTCTACAGTCACTGTATTTTCTTTCTTTTATATATGTATATCTCTTATATATTTATTTAAATCATATTTTTTACTTTTCAGAGGTTTTCAAAGATAACAGGTAGATTGTTTTCATAAATGAAGTCTATCATTTCAGGTCACTTGGGTTCTAAGCAATCTAAATCCCCAATTAATCGCTTCCAAATATACATTTTAGTTTTCATTTTGTTCACAAATGAAACCCTAACCTAAATACTTCAAGTGAAATTTCAGGGGAAAAATACCGTTCAAAAACCTAGATACTGCATTCCTTTGTTGATGCTAAATATAGTCATCTCAAGATGACATACATTTTGACAGTGATCAGCCTTACATGTCAAATTTTCAAAATAGCACAGATTCCATTTTTAAGGTGAGCAAGAAAAACTGCCACTCACTACATTTCAATTGAAGATGGATTTAAAAGTGGAAATCTTCTATTTAAACTGAATTACATCAGTAACGGCAATGAGAAAACTGGAATTAAGAGAACAGTGTTGTGTTGTTTGCTTAGGGCTCTTGGAGTTGTTGCAGGGAAAATACAGAATTGCATACATTTTTCTTTAAATTATTCTTTAGAAGCATCAGTCAAAATTTAAAATATCTTCAGAAATAGGTGCTAATAGCTGTAAGGAAGAAGAATCTTAGCTACATGAATAATCAAAGTTCATTCATACTAAATATAACTTCTTTAAAAAAACCCTTTCCTTCATTTAATTAATTATGCAGTCTTTGTGCCAGTATCCCTAAAGTCAAAAGAATTTCAGAGACAAGTATGTGGAGTTTTCTCACGGCAGCAGTTTAACCTGTAAAAGGATAATATTCGGTGAAAAACTGAGCGCCCACTCAGTGTGTGATAGGATGGTATAAATACTTGCTTATTTGATCGCGCTTCACAAGACATAGTTATGCGGTGACTCACAAGGCCATGAGCCCCTTCTATATGAACTCACTGACAAAATTTAGCTGCTGAATGATGTTCCCCTCGTTTTGGTCAGTGAACTAATTTCTTATCATGGCTTCTTTTCTCTACCTGCCTCTCTCCTAAGGACAGACATTTTGGTAGGGCACAGCTATTTTTACCTTGTTATCGCTCTCTCCCAACTCTTTGTTCGCATTGTGGCCTTTCATAAGAATAAAACGAGTATCTCAAAGTTGTTTCAACAACCAACTAACCTCTCAAGTTGACTATTTTTCTTACAAGTGTCAGTAATAATACATTTTTACCGTTTGTGAGCGTTTCGCCGTTTACGAAGACGGTGTTTTCAAAATGCACGTAGCCCAGAGACCCCTGAGGAGGTGAGGACAGTCACTCACTCCAACTTCAGCTCCAAAGTGCTTCACCCTCCAGCGTCCCACCTGCGTGGAATGTCAAAGACTGTGGAGCCGAGGTAGGTGATGGGCCTCTCGATCGCGTCCCCCTCCCCCCGCCCCTGCCTCCCGGGGGCGATGGGTCGGGGCACTGGCGGGGACCGAGACGGCGGCGGGGCACGTGCCGGGGGACCGCACTCAACTTTGGCCGCTCGGACCAAGGGCACCCGCTCCGCCCACCCGAGCTCTGCCCCTGCAGAGTACGGAACGCACCCCAACTCGGGGAGCCGGGCCAGGACACCTCAACCCGAAGCCGGAGGCGGGGTGACGCGGCGACAGCGAGCAGAGCCGGGCGGCACCCGCGGGCCCGCAGGACGCGCGCGGTTCGGGGGCCGGGACGCTCGCTGTTGGGAGCCCGGCGCTCGGAGCGCCTCCCGCAGCCGCCGCCTCCGTTCCCGGGACCCACCTCGCCCCCACCGCCCCTCCACGTTTCCCCAGCCCTCTTACCCGCCGGGAGCTGCGGGGAAGCCAAGGTCCTCGCTGCGTGCGTCCTGTGCCCCCGCCTGGGTCGGGGTCTGGGAGCTGTGACCGCGGCCGCTGCTGCTCCCGCCGCTGGAAGCCCTCTGGCTGCCGTCGCCGCCGCCGCCTCCAGCAGCAAGTTTCCATAAAAGTCCTGGTGCGCAGCCTGCGCCCGCATTCCAGACGGGCCCAGCGCCGGCTGCAGCTGTTCCAGAGCACAAGGCCAGTGCCCCGCCCCCACCTCCGCCGTGTCGCCGGGGAGGGCTGGAGAGTCCCACAGAAAGGCCGGCCAGGGGGCAGCCGCCAGCTCTCCGCCAGCACTGCTTGCTACTTGCTCGGCCCTAGTAGGTGCCTCAGCTGACCCCTAATCTCAGGCCGGCCTCCACCTCCCCTCCCGCAGGGCCGGGAGAAGGGAGGCTGCCTTCACTGTGGGAAGGGACTGGTGCTGCAGTGGTCTTCATTACCAGGCTGCCTCCTTGCAACCCCCTTTGCCCTGGGCCCACTTCTTCCAGATTCTCTTCCTGCCCTATATCCTATGAAAAAGGGAGAGAAGCTACTGCTCCTCTTCTATCCTCACCCAAGACCTTGACCTTTGGCCAGCGTCCTCTATTAGAGCGAGGGGCAGCAATCTGGGAACACTTCATGTTCATTACCCTCTTTTCCTCTCCTGGTCTTTAACTCCAAAGAGGGCTATTAGTAGAAAAAAAAAGTTGAAGGTGGGGGAACAACATTACATATATTACATATAATATATATAAATTTTCACCTTTCCTTAATTGATGGCAGATCATCTCTGATCTTCCTAACCTATAAAAGCATGTGAATATTAGGCACCCACAGACCTTTTCCACCTTGGATCACCAGCTCACCCATCAGACAACCCCATCTTGAAACATGAAAGCCAAAGGAGACATTTTTTGGTTGGGGAGATCCTCAGTTCTTTATTGCACTTTAAAAAATCCAGCTGGCACCCAGACAAAGCAGGGAAGAGGGTAGCCACTATCAGCTTCAGACACTGGGCAGAGGCAGTGCCCAGGTTATACTTCAGGTATGTTCAGGACTTTTATTCTTAACTGTAGCTCTAGTTTCCCTTCTCCATCCCCACATTACTTAGGATGGATTTTTTTTCTTTTTTTCTTTTTTGTGGTTCTGGGGATTGAACTCAAAGCCTACACATTGAGCCACTCCACCAGTCCTTTTTTGTGAAGGATTTTTTTGAGATAGGGTGACGAGAACTATTTGCCAGGCTGGCTTTGAACCACAGTCCTTCTTATCTCTGCCTCCTGAGTAGCTAGGATTACAGGCGCGAGCCACCAGCGCCTGGCTTGGAAATTCATTTCTTAATTACAGAAAGTTCTAAATTGGCAATTAAGTTATTAAAATTTACTTTAATACAAGTAGTAATAGGCTCTTGAGCTTACCTCTTTCTCCCATCAATACTCTCACCATGGCCTTCTTCAGTTCATGGAAATTTCCACAGGCCTTCCCTTCAGGGCCTTTTCACAAGCCATTCCCTATGTACAAAATCCTCTTCCCCTAACTTCAGCATATCCTTTGGCTTGACAATTAAATCCTGCCTCCTCTAAGAAGCCTTCCTTGCACTGCAGTCTGTATCAATTAGAAATGCTGGGGCTGGTGGAGTGACTCAAGTGGTAGAGCCCCCACCTACCATGTGTAAGGTCTTAAATTCAAACCCCAATACCATTAAAAAAAAAAAAATAGCAGGCACCAATGGCTCACGCCTGTAATCCTAACTACTCAGGAGGCTGAGATCAGGAGGATTGCGGTTTGAAGCCAGCCCAGGCAAATAGCTCAAGGGACCCTATTTTGAAAAAACCCACCAGAAAAAATGGCTGGTAGAGTGGCTCAAGGTGAAGGCCTTGATTTCAAACACCAGTACTGTTAAAAAAAAAAAAAAAAAAAAGTTCATCCCACCTTTTCCCTCACTGTGCATCAAATTTTAACTATACATTTTTGTGATTTAAACAATTAGAAGCTGTCTAATTTTGTACTTCTCACCAATAGATTCATCAGATTAAACACAACTCTCCATTCTCTGTAAACTACTGAGAGCCACCTACAGTATGCCAGGTCACCAATTCATCGTTCATTCAGCAGCAAATAATCAGTTCTAGACAGCAAGGAGATAGCAGTGACAAAAATAAAACTCTTGCTGTCATGGAGCATGCATTCCAGTGGAAGAAGGCAGACATAGAACTTGGGTGACGTGCAGCATGGCTAGCATCAGAGCAGTGAAGTAAGGATGTGGGGGAACGGGCTGAGAGGAGGTTAGAATTTTAGATAAGAGTGGCTAGAGAAAGCCTCATGTGAGTGAAAGTCTTGAAGAAAATAAGGCAGTGTATTCCTTTGCTTTTCATTATTATAACAAAATCCTGAGACTGGACAAATTTATAGAGAAAGGAGGTTTATTACCTTACAATTCTGAGGGCTTAAGAGCATGGTGCTGAGATCCACTAAGGTCTAGTGAGGACCACATGGCAGGTGGCATACAACTGCACACAGTTTGTGGGAGAGGGAGAGACAGGAAGCCACAGTGGGGGAAAACATCCGTCACAACTTTCTAGGCCCCAGTTCTTAAAAGTTCCACTACCTTTTAACATCACCACCTGGGGGGGCTACGCTTCTAGCACACAATTTTGGATGTGACAAACCACATCTAAACCGCAGCGGGCAGTAACCTGTGTGAAAACCTGAAGATGCAAATGTCTGGGGAACAGTGGTCCAGAGAGATACGAAGGCCCAGAGAAGGATCCCATTTGACATTTGCTAGGAAGAACAAGGAGGCTTGCCTGGGGGAAGCTGGGTTCATGAGTCCTCAGGAGTTGAGGTAACGCAGGGGACAGACATTGTAAGGATTCTGGTTTTTATTCCAAGATGGGAGATGCCATTGGTGGGTTTTGAACAAAGTATTAACACAGTATGCCCTGGGTTCAAGCCCCAGCACTGCAAGGAAAAAAACAGTAAGGGATTTGGAATCCCAGATGATGACTTAGAGGGATGTAGTCTGTGCAAGACACACGTTAGAATACCGAGCGAACTGAAGGGCTTAATGTCATATCAAGAGACTGGCCAAAGAATGTGCACTTATTCTTTTAAAAATTAAAATATCTAGGGGCCAAGCATGGTGGTGAATACCTGTTAATTCCAGCTATTCAGGAGGCAGTGATCAGGAGGATTGAATTCAAGGTCAGTTGGGGCAAAAGGCAACTACCGTCTCAACAAATAAGCCAGTTATGGTGGTACACACCTGTGATCCCAGCACTGCCAGAGGCGTAGGTAGAAGGATCATAGTTTAAGACTGGCCCCAGGCAAAAACATGAGAACCTACCTGAAAAATTGCCCTTAAAAGAGGATTGGAAGTGTGTCTCACGTGGTGGAGCAGCACCTCCCTATCAAATTTTTTAAAAATATCTGTGTAATTTATTAGGAGTCTCTGTTGTATCCAGCCAGCAAGAAGACCCCAAAAGGTCCTATCCTCTGGTATTCATATCCTGTGGAGTCTTCATCCACTTTGTGTCAAGGTTGGGTTTGCCTACAGGACAAGATTATGGCAGAAGTGATAGCACTTCAAATAGTTTTTCTTGGATTACTCTCAATCTGGAAGAAGCCAGTTACCATGTCTTAAAAACATCCAGGAGCCCTATTGACAAGTCTAGTTGGTAAGTCCAAGTCCAGTTGGTAAGTTCAATAGCCAGCAATGGACTGAGTGAGCAAAGGAGCAAATCTTCCAGCCCCCTTGGTCTTGTTTCGTGTTGCTGTAATAGAATACTTGACACTGAAAAACTTTTTTTTTTTTGGTGGGACTGGGGTTTGAACTCCCGATTTCACACTTGCAAAGCAGGCGCTTACCACTTAAGCCACATCTTCCATCTATCTTGCTGTGGTTATTTTGGCGATGGAGTCTTGCAAAGTGTTTGCCTCAGCTGACTTTGAACCTTGAACCTCCCAATCTGAGCCTCCCAAGTAGCTAGAATTACCAGCATGGGCCACTGTAAAGACATTTAAAAAAAAAAAAGATTTATTTGGTTCATGATTCCATTAGCTGGATAGTCCAAACAGCATGGCCCTAGCTAGCTGGTGCAGGCCCCCGGGTGCATCACAAATAGTGAAGCAGAAAGGGACCCAACCATGTGCAGAGTGGCACATCGTGAGAGCAAGGAAGAAAGAGGGTGAGGGGCTGGTGTTGCTTTTAGAACAACCTGCTCCTAGGAGACCCGACCGACTCCAGCAAGACAGCAGTTATCTATTCATGAGGGCAGAGCCTGGGACCTACAATCCCTTCCCCTAGGTTCCACCACCCCAGGGACCAAGCTCACACCACATGAACCTCTGGGAGACAAACCGAATCCAAACCACAGCATAGTCCTAACCTAGACTTCAGATTGCTGCAACCTTAGAGATCTAAAATCAGAACCAGCAGTAAGCCATTCCTGAATTACCAACCCTCAGAAACCAGTGATGTTGGTTTCAAGTGCTAAATTTTGGGATAATGTGTTATGTTGCAATAGATAATGACTATTAACAGAGCACAGTGGCACATGCCTGTAGTTCTAGCTACTCAGAAAGTTGAGGTGGAAGGTTGCTTGAGCCTAGGAGTTTACACCAGTCTTGGCCAACATAGCAAACTGTCTCAAAAAAAAAAAAAAAAAAAAAAAGCATTGAATATACTTTCTTTAAACCTACTTCACCACCTTCTACCACATTAAGTACTTGGTCCTTTTTAAGGTTCCTCAGCATATAATCTCAGAATACTATTAAATCAGGATTAGTAAAGTTCTGGAAACTGTATATTTCAATTACTTTCACATGTCAAAGTGCTTCTCTGTATTTAAGTATAATGGTGTTATGTAAACATAGCAAATCATCAAAGTGCTGTAATTTCCTATATATAAATGTACTTTATGTGAAAGCCTTCTGTGACACACATAAGAAAACAGTTAAAAGCAAAATGTTGAGGTGATATTTGATGTACCAATTGCTTTGCTATAGCTTTTAAGTAAAGAATAAAAAGCATCATAGAAGGAAGGTTTGTTCCTTTTCTTCTTGGTACTAAAATGCAGCTGATGTTACTGTGGATGTAGAAAAAAGACAAAGAACTTCAGCAGACCAAAGAGCTTGTGCAGCCTGATCAAAGATGTCAGTAGCATAGGAGAGTAACAGATCAAGGGGTAAGCAGTGGTAGGGTAACAAATGAAGGGGTACAGGAAACAGGAAGAAACTGGGGGGGAAAAACACAAGTCAAAAGTGGTGTAAGAGCAGTAAGAAAGACAGTCAATAAACAAAGTGTTTATACAGATTTCCAGCAAAACCCTTCCAATAATGTAGTAATAAGACACAGATGCTTGCAGAAAAGCATTTTAGATACCTGAGAGTTCAGAGAGATGTTTAAAGTGCAAAACATTCAGTTCAGAGAGCATAATCAAAGAGGATGTATGAAAGAGCAAAGAATATGGAAGATAATGGCACAGAAAACAGAAAGTGAGACTGAGATGCAGATCTAGGGCCCCACTCTACTTCCCATGTAGCAAAAGACCCAACTCATGTTTGTATGACTTGCTTAAGTAAAACACTTCAGTCTATATGTCCAATGAAAAAACTTTGAAAACAGAGGTGGGTGAATGGTTCAGTGGGAAAGCTCTTGCCCAGCATGTACAAGGCCTTAGGGTCAGTCTCCAGCACTACACACACACACACACAGAGCAGAAATTAAGAATGTAACTGCACATGTATCTATATGAAACATATTTAATTATTCTAAAATAAACCAATTTATTGAATACTGTTTCATGTCTAGGTGAAGCCTTTCTGCGCTGTTAACTAGAGTCATCCATCCAGACAGCATCCCTCCCTCTCCCGGACTAAGTGGATCTGAAGACTTAACCAAGAAACGATGAGGAAGGAGCTTCAAATCATGTATTATATTCAATGGCATGGTTCATCAGAACACTTTGAAATTAATTAGGACACAAGTACTTTGTCTTTATTCATTATAAACTACCTTTTGTTCCATGTTAGTACATAATGACAATATTTGATAAAATTTTACTTTACATTTGAATTCAATGCTTCTGCAGTTTGTCTGTGTTCTCTATGCCTGCACATGGGGCCTTATGCTGACTGTAAGCTCTCACAGAGTCTAAAGAGACAACGTCAATATTGTTTAAAGTATGCAACAAGTCACCAAAATGTATCATCATTTTTATTTCACAGTAAGAGAAACACATCCATGTTACAGTGCTTATTTCAGCTAAAGAGCCAGTGCTATTTTTTTTCTGCTATTGTAGTGCTTCACTTTTACACAAATTAATGAGTTCAGTCCTTACATTTAAGCAATAGATACATTTCCTGATATCAGCCAAAAAAAGCTAAAACATGGTTGTTCTAAAACTAAACAAAACAAGAATAGGAACAAAGAATGTCCTCACTGCTATTTTGCATATTATATAAACTTTTAATCTCACATGTATATATCTTAATCTGATTAATACAAGTAAAAACAGAATTTGAATTTAGCCTAATTCTTATAATCACTTTAATTTTACATCCTAATTTCTGAATACATGTTCACATTAAAATGAAAGCAAATGGGTTATAAACATAATTTCAAATTTTTCATCATGAAAGGTTACACAGAAGTGTATTAAATATTACTTTGACATTTCTATTTCCTAGGCTTAAAAGAATAATAAGCAAATAATTCTTCTGTAATGCAAATAATCACTTTTAGAAATTAAGTAGAAAATGTCGTATCTTAAGGCAAGAAAACGTCTATATACTTTTCTGTGCTCAACAAATTAATAGAGTCATAGCAATTGGATGCAAATAACAAAATTCTTTGGAACTAACTGTAACAGTATGCAAAACATGGTATCTTTTTAAAAAGATAGTTGCATTTTGACATTTAATAAACAATAAACATTATTAACCTTCAGGAAGCAATAACTACCTTGTTAGCTGAAAAAATATAGAGAGAAACCAAATAAAAAAAAGAAATATGAAATATAAATCAACTGAACATTCATCCTTTTTCTTCCAGCAAAGAGGCAGAAGTAATCTCCTCAGGACTGATTCTTGCAGCTTACATCCGAAAGTCAGTGGTAAGACTGTTGGTGATAATACCACCATGATTAAGTGTTCAGCAGGGTTTTACCCTAAAAGGCTCTAGACTTTCATTTAAAAAAAATTTTTTAAAGCATTGCTTTTTCTATTTAATCCAGTTTTAAGGCAAATGAAAACTGGTATGTATATGTTAAATACCCTTCTGCAGTCATTAATTTTGTATTTAAAAAGAAGTTATCTTCCTTTAAAAAAAAAAAAGTCAAGTTTCTTCTTTTTCTTTTTCTGTGGTACTGGGTTTGAACTCAGGGCTTACACCTTGAGCAACTCCACCAGCCCTTTTTTGTGATGGGTTTTTTTTGAGATAGGTCTTTCAGACTACTTGCCCAGACTGGCTTCGAACCGCAATCCTCCCCATCTCTGCCTCCTGAATAGCTAGGATTACAGGCGTGAGCCACCAGTGCCCAACTTCAAGTTTCTTTACTTAACAATAACAAGGGTTTTTTTCCCCTACACTTATTGCCCTGAAATCCTATTTGGTCATTCATATCTCTTTTGTCAAAGGCCACAAAGAAAGTACCTTGCTAATGTGGTAACTGTTGAACTGAGCAGAAGCTAATCAAACTGGCACTGAATGAGAAATCAACTTCCTGAAGATGGGTGATGTCTTTTTAGCTAAAATGTAAAAGGAGGAAAAAAAAACAAACCTAGACACCGTCTGGAAAGCCATTCATCTGATGAATATATTCCTAGGAATTTCCTTATGTAGTAGCAGCATTATTAAATAGTGCAATTCTGCAAGACTGATTTCAAACAATATTTTAATCAAATAAAAACTAAAAGGTAATTAAGTTTTACTTATAGCTTTGTTTATAAAACCATAGCATAAGACAGACCTGAAATGAGTAAATTAATATAATTACCAAGTGTCTTGCTTACATAGGAATGCAGATGCATGCATACACGTGAGTGTGTATCATTCAAAGCTAGTGATTCCTCAGCAACAAGGTAAAAACATATAAGATTAAAATAAAAAGTAAAACATTACATAAGGGAATCTTTCATTTTGGTACTTCTAATCATACTCCTCCATAGGTAAGAATCATGAATAGGCAATTATTAAATTAGAGATCTATGTAAGAAAAGTCAAGGAGCTACATACACAAAAACAATTAGAATAATATTTCATATGTTTAACATTCTAACCCATACAGTACATGCAAAACTGCATAAAGATTCTGAGTTTTATATTTTGAAATTAGTTTATATAATTGTTGCACATACATAAATGTGTAATCTTAAAAATTATGCTTTTTTCACTTTTTATTTTCTATTCACTAATCTGAATCTAGGCACTTTAATCTAAAAATGCATTTTTTAAAAATGCATTTTAGGCCCTTCTGTGTAGCTCACTCCTAAATGAATAAAGCCCACTTTACAAATCTAATCCACTAATAGGTACACTGTCAGCCACCTCAAACAAGCAGCTCTGAGAGGATCTATAATCTACTCTGAAGAAGGCTCACTGTTAAGACGACCCATTTGTTCATATACTTAAAGGACACACAGTATACTTCCATATCATTAAAAAAAATTTTGTTCTACACAAAAGAGAAAGAAAACCTTTAAAACCTAAGATTCATGGCTGGAGATGTGGCTCAGGGTAGAGTGCTTGCCTAGCTTGCACCAATTTCAATCCCCAGCACTGCAAGAAAAAAAAAATCGAAATATGGATATTTTTTAAAATGTGGGATAATACGATAAATTCCCAATGTGCTGAGTTCTCCATGGGAAAAACTAAAAGTCCATTTTGTGGAAGTAGAAAGGAGAAATTATTTTACTGTAGCAAGTTTAATATCTTCAGATGTTGGGAGCCAGTCTCAAAACTTTAGTAAATTTTATACTAAATTAGCCTAAAAATTATACTAAAAAAGAGTAAATTTTTAATTGCCTTTCTTAGTAAGCAAATGCTACCTTTCCAATCAATATTCACTCAAGAAAAAAATGTTCTAATTTATAAAATGATAAAAAGTATATCAGTCTCTATTGTAACTTTTATGACCAAAATAATGTATTTTGGAAACTATGGATAATCTAATATTAAGTTGTAAATTGTAAGCTTCTTTATGTCAATTCATTATTGTGTAACAATACTCAGTGATTACAATTTCATCGATTTAAATGCGTGAGCAGATGCATAAGCAATAATGTAAGCAGTAAATATTAAATACCACTATTGCCTAAATTTGATTAAACAAATGAGTAACTTTACAGTTAAAAAGACATTTTCAGGCAAAGTTAAATGTTGGCACTGGAAGAAATATATTCTTGCGTGTGTGGCCCACACAGGTTTGGCTAAAATGTGTATTTTCAAGATGCGAGGCATAAAACAGAGGTTTTGAGAATGATAACAGGATATTTTGGACAGCTTGAAGACAATAAGCTCCCAAATACTGGCTTGAATTCAAGCAATATTCCTACAAAATACACAACATTTCACAACTTAAATTATTACCTAAGGACAATGAAGTAGTTGCTCTAGATACATTACATAGGGATTCAATGGAAGAATTTCTGTTTAAAGGCAGACAGTCACTCATTCTTTTTGAGTTTTTTTCCCCTCCCTGAGTCCACACCCATCAATTCTGATTTTGCAATACACATGCCAGAATCATAGTCATCTTAAAGTACTTTATATACTCTAACTGGATGGGTTCTTATGGTATTTATTGTGCTTTGGCTTCCAACAGCCCACTGGACATAACATGATCGTGACTACTTGTACAACTACTTGTGTGCCTCAGGGCATCTGCTCCAAGATATGCCATTAAAAGTTCAGTGCGACGAATGAGTAACTGCAGGAGGTCTTCAGCCAAAGTCTCTATACTTGAATAGCGCACCTTCTCAAAGTCAAAAATGTCTTTGAGAAAGAAAATAACTTGATTCTGGAAAAAGAACACAAATTGACATTTATTAGACCAAAGTTATATTAAAGAGTTAATAATATTGTAAAAGGCATTGAATCAGGAGTCAGAACATCTTAGTTCCGGGGCACATTTCCTGTCTCATTTGAAAAGAGATCTTGAACAAGAGACCTTTTCCTATAAATGCAGGATAATATCAGTCATCCTACTTACCTGACACCCTTCAAAAAGATCGTGTATGAGAAGTGCCTGTGAGCCTCTGAGCACTGGCACCACTTTAAGACAAAAGAATAAACCATTCTCAATAATCCTATGATTTTAGATATAATTTTTATGTACAAAAAACTTAAGAAATAAATAAAAATAATTTCAGGTCTAAAATCAGTAAAAAATCTTGAAGAATATTTCATTTCAGTAAGTTAATACTTGTACAAAAATACATTTTAAGTAAGTTGCATACTATAAAGTATTAAAACTCAGCTGTTATATCATTATGGAGGAGAAAAGTCATTCCAAACAGTAAAAAACAGGAATAATGAATTTCTGTACTCAGAAACCAAATGTTAAGAAGAACAAAGACTTCACAGATTCACTTGAGTCATTAGTTAGCAACTTGTCAGGTCCCCCATTTTATAGATGAAGAAAAGGACCAAAGAATGATTTCCCCCAAGTTAGACTGCTTATTAATGACACTTAATTCCCAGCTCCAATTTTTTCCATTAAAACAAATGCCTTACATTTGGAAGGTCAAGAAAGCTGGTTAGGAGCCAGGTGTCAGTGGCTCACACCTGTCATTCTAGCTATTCAGGAGGCAGAAATAAAGAGGACCATGGTTTGAAGCCCACCTGAGTAAACAGTTCGAGAGACCCTACCTGAGTAAATAGTTTGAGGGACCCTATCTTGAAAAAACCCATCACAAAAAAGGACTGACTGGCAGAGTGGCACAAGTGGTAGAGCACTTGCCTAGCAAGCGTGAGGCCCTGAGTCAAACCTCAACGCCACAAAAAAACCCAAAAAACTGGTTAAAAAATAATGTCTTCTGAATGACAGTAAAATGAACAACTCCTAAATCCATTTACACAAATCTTATATTAACAGCATATAAGCATGATTTTAAAAAATGAATAGTATAATGAAACATCCAGAATTTCCAAATTTATATATTCTTTTGCTCCTTGAAACTCAGACCAAACTCAGAACTTGGCACTTTGCCAACAAGAAAATTCTGTAATGAGCCATGACTAGCCATGACATTACATGGCAAATGTAAATGTCTGATGTTAGGATACAACATTACACTCCCATGTTACTTCTCACAACTTGGATTTCATCACTCATGTTACCTTGAACTAGAATTTATTTTAACACAAATACATTGATTGATACACGCACAATAAAGACAGATGTTATATTTCACAAGTGCCATTGTAACATGACATTACGCAAGGCCATAATAGAAAATTTGATGAGTGGATTTATTGAATCTATTCTAGAATAAGGCACGAAATACATATTTTAAAAGATTCATCATAATACTAGTGATATTATAAAATGCCAGTAATTTAATATTGGCATCTAAACACTTAATTTATGTGGCCTCTATAAGTTTTCTTTTAAATAACATTCTTGGTCCTGTCTGGAGGTTGGTACCAGTGGGAGGGGGGAGGATATAAGGAAAGGGTAAAGGAAGATGAATATAGTAGAAATATTATGCACTCATGTATGAGAACGGAACAGTGAGACCTGTTGAAACTATTCCAGTAATGGGGGAGGGGAATAAAGAAGAATGATGGAGGAGGTAAATTCAACTATGATATTGTAAGAACTTTTGTAAATGTCACAATGTACCCCAAGTACGTTCAACAATAATAGAAATAAATAATTAATTAGATTAGCATTCTTTTTTAACAAAAACGAAACATAAAAAACTGTATATGCTTTCTGATTTAGAAAAAAGCAACGATTCAAAGTCTGAACATACCTTAAAGAAGCAGCATAAATCATAGAGAGAATTTCTAGGACCCAAAAAGCCCCAGGCTAGGACAGGGCTTATGTGCTCACAAATAGCATAAAAATGGGCAAAAAATCCATGTGAGATCTGTTAGGAAATAAAGGAGAATCAAATCATTTTTACCTTCTTGTACTTGCTTTCTCTATCTAGTAAGGAACTGAAATTGCTATACATGAGCAGCATTTTTTTCCCTTTTTTTTTTTTTGGATGAGACTGTTTGAACTCAGGGTTTCATGCTTGTTAAGCATGCACTCTATCACTTGAGTCATACCTCTAGGTCATTTTGCTCTGCTTATTTTGGAAATGGGTCTCTCAATGTATTTGCCAGGGCTGGACTTGAATCAAGATCCTCCCGATCTTGATTACAAGTAGGTAGGATTAGGTGTGAACCACTGGCGCCCAGTTCATTGGCTCTTTTTCAGGCAGACCAACCATTATCAGCAGGCAGCCTATCAGGAAGGTTAATAAACTTACATGTAACTTTTACAGTCGATGTTTGTATGCAGATTTCATACCCTAGTCAATAGCTTCTGATGTACTGACAAAACCCACCATTTTCTAAGAGGCGTTTATTCACCTTATAAAAATACACGTTGAGTCTTCCTTATCCAAAATGCTTGGAACCAAAAGTATTTCAGATTCCAATTTTTTAAAAATTTTGGAATATATGCATATGCTTAATGAAGTATCTTGGGGATGAGATGTAAGGGTAACCATGTAGTTCATTTGTTTTATGTATACCTTATCACATAGCCTGAAGGTAATTTTATACAGTATTTTTGGTTCACCTGCATTTTGACTGCAACCCATTACATGAAGTAAGGTATGAACTTTTCCACCTGTATCATCATTTCAGCTCTCAAAAAAGTTTTAGAGCCAGGAAGCAAAGGCGAGAATCAGCACAAGTTTAAGGCAGCTTGGTGTACATAGTGAGTTCTAGGACAGCCTGGACTACAGAGCAAGATCCTGTCTCAAAAAACAAACAGGAGTTTCAGTTTTTAGAACATCCTGAATTTTCAAATTAGGGATGTTTAACCTGTACTTCATAAAAGAAGCAACCATATAATGTTGTAACAAAGTAACAACAAGAATGTTATGCTGTTCCTTAGTCACATCATTTCTAGGAGTACTATGACTACTGTGGTTCAAATTATTTAAAAGCCCTACTCAATCACTTAATTGTCTAAACCAAAAAAGACAAAAACAAGCATAAAATAATTAAGCTCTAAATTACTCTTACTAGAAGTTTTTGGTTTTTTTTTCTGTAGTACTGGGGCTTAAACTCAGCCTACAACTTGAGCCATTCCACCAATCCTTTTTTTTTTTTGAAATAGGGTCTCATAAACTATCTGTCCAGGCTGGCTTTAAACTGCAATCCTCCTGATCTCTGCCTCCTGAGTAGCTAGGATTACAGGCATGAGCTATCAGTGCCTGGCTTCTTACTAGAATTTTAACCTTTACTTAAGAAACCCTATGTTATTTAGACATTTAATTGTACAATTGACTCTTTTTATGAAATATTAGTATGTATATTTATTTGTGTTTTAAGAAATTCCCTAAGTTTATTAGTAACTGAATTTCCTTTGTTAAATAACATTCTGTGGGATGCATCACAGAACACTGACTGGAGATAACCATGCCTGAAGATTCTGTCTTTTGAAGGAATTATTTTGTATTTACAATCTCCAGGAAAATCTTTTAAACCTCGGTTTAGAAAACATAAGACAATAGCAATTATCACTTAATGAGTACCCATAATACACCAGACAATATGATACTCTATTTAATTTGCTAAACATTCTTAGCAAAGTTGGTCATGTTAATACCATTTTAAATACGTGAAAAGTATACTTGAGAGGTTAAATAACCTGCTCTGTATCACACATAGCTAATTAGTGAAGGCCAAAGAGCAATCAGGGGTGTGCTGAAATTATTCTAGTCTAAAAGATGTTCTCCACACACAGTAAAATTCTAAATCTCATAACAGAGTCTAAGTGTATTAGGAGTTCACAGAAGTGAGAAGTGTGCTGGAGTAGAAGTACAAGGAATAACTGAGAGCTGAGCTCAATAGTAGGTAAGGTTAATTTAAGGACACAGTAAGTTTGGTCTTTCATGTATGGAAAAAGTTCTGCCAGAGGTGATATGTATATAGGTACCTGTGGCTATAGAAAGAAAACTAGACAGAGGCACAATGTTTATTCTAAAGAAGTGGGAAACAGACATATTAATAATATTATTATCATTATTATGGAAACTATCATTTACTAAACTCTTCAGACTACATTTAACTTTATGTTCAAATTAAGCTTGTTATACATTGTTGATGTTTTTTCACTTTGTCCTTACAGCAACTTATGAAGTAGGCATTAATTCCATTTTGCAAATGAGAAAACTGACTGATGGTCAGTCAGTACTTGTCATGATATTGTTAGCTAGTGAGAGAATTAAATCCATGTCTTTAAAAGTCTGTCCTCTAGTCCTAAACCAGTGGTTCTCAAACATTATATTTTATCATTTGGGGAACTTGCTTTTAAAATACAGGGACTCTGATCTGATCAAAGTATGTTTTATATATATATATATATATATATGTATAAAAATATCACAAAGAAAGTGTTTTTGCACAATACACACTTTTTAAAAAATAAAAATATACAGGGTCTGCAGAATAATTTTAAACAAGAATTATCAAAATATTAGAATCAATGGAATTATTTCGATTTCTTTTCTACACAGGTGCTCCACCACTTGAGCCACTCCACCAGCCCGTGGAATTATTTCTAATAGCACCGTGAGGCAAGCATCTCCAGTATGCTTCAAAAACCACTGTGCTTGGCATTATAGGCTCAAAGCTATTAACATTAGATTGAAAAATACGGATATAATAAAACATTACAGATCCTTGGGCAAATAACAATACGGTAACAGGCAGTACTCCCATAATACACTATTCTAAGCATTTACATTGAAGTATTTGCTTTTTTTTTTTAATTGGAAATACGAGGGTTGGAACCCAAGGCTTTGTGCATGCTGGGCAAGTGCTCTCCCACTAAGTTATACCCTCCAGCCCTAAGGACTTTACATCCAATCTTAAAAAACTTTATGAAGTAAATACTGCTACTATCTTCTATTTTTAGAGATGAGGAAATTGAAGCATAGAGATTAGGCAATGTCCAAGGTCACACCATAAGTAGCCTGCGATCCCAGCCAGTCTCACCGCACAGAACACATCCTTCACCACTAACAGTGTGTGGCAAGAGCAGCACTTGGTGGAGGAGATTGGCTACAGGGTATGGAGGAGAGGCAAAATATAAATTTTGCAATTTTGGGGGGTAGAGATTCTGAACCAAATAAAGCAACTACTAATCAAATCATTATTCCTCAGCTGGATTATATGAAGAAGAGGCCAGTATATTAAACAATTTTTAAAAATATTAGTATTATTAAGTGACAAAACCAAAAGCCAAAAGCTCCCACAGGGCTATTTCTAACCCTAACCCTCCCACTTAGCTGAAATCCCACACAAGCTTCAATACTCGTACAGAGCTGTACCGACACTGAGGAAAAGGGAGAAGGCACTCGGAAGAGCACTCAGTACTGTAAGACACTTAGCTAGCTTGAGAGACAGTTCCTGTTATTAGCTGCTATGCCCACACGTGAACTGACTCAGCTGTTCATTAACAGGCTCCTTGAATTATTTCACAGAGGAACTGCTATGGTATGAATATGGTTTATCCTCCACCAAAATCAAGCTGAAGCTTGGTTCCCAATGTAGCAGTGCTGGGAGGTGTCTGGGTCATGGGAGTAGAGCCCTCAAGGACGGATCAGTGTCTTTTCTCCAGACTCACTGGACACCACAAGAACGGTTGTTATAGAGCAAGGCTGTCCCCACTGTTTGCCCCTTTCACATATGCCTGCTTGCTCTTCTGCTTTCCATTATGCACTGAAACAGTACAAAGCTGTTTCATGTGCTGCTGGTAGGTTTTAGACTTTGTAGCCTTCAGAATGTGAGCTGTATAAACCTCTTTCCTTACAATTTAGCCAGTCTCAGGGTATTCTGTTATAGCAACAGAAAATGTACTAAAGATAGGAATCCAGAGCATGATGAATTTTACCTTCATCTGCTGCCTTTTCTGTTTCAGCACTGACCAACAGCTTGAAGCCACAGCCTAAGCAAATGCAGAAGAGAAAAGCAAGATTTAAATTTATAGCTATATATAAATATTTCTTTTCAGAAAAGAGTAATTTTTATTAGAATCAAAAGCTTACAGGTTTTTGGCTACTAGGTGCCAGTAGCTCATACCTATAATCCTAGCTACTTGGGAGGCTGAGATCTGGAGGATTGAGGTTTGAGGCCAGCCTAGGCAAATAGTTCACAAAACCCTTCTCGAAAATAACCAGAGCAAAATGGACTAGAGGTGTGACTCAAGAGGTAGAGCTCTTGCTTTCCAAGTGTGAAGCCCTGTGTTCAAATCCCCAAACTCCCCCAAATAAATAAAAGTTTCTGGGTCTAAAAAAATTCAAAATATTAACAACTAATAAGAAGTAAAGCAGAGGGTGATAGTGCACACCTGTAATCCCAACATTTGGTAGGCTGAGGCCTTGAGGCCCTATAGCAAACATCCCCTTTCCCCCAAAAAAAGAGTTAGTTCAGGCTCCTTATATCGTTTACAAACATTAATGAAAAGATACTTCATTTTTATAAATTTAAAAATTAAATACAAAGTCAGTAAAGGAAAAAGGTTGAAGTCTGATACCAAGGAGCTTGGCAATTACAACTCAGTTCTAAAGAATTCTTAAATTTTGTTCCAATGGGAAAACACTGAAAATACATGTAAAAAGACATACATAAGCAAATATTCTAAGTCCAATAATGAAGACAGTTATTTTTTTCATTCAAGAACAGTATTGCTGAAATATTTATAGGCAGAGCTAACAGTTTAAGAACTATTTCAACAATGACAAGACAAAAGCAAAATGTCGTCAGTGAATCCTAAAGAAACCTGACCCTGCTCTGGCATGACCCAACTTTGATCAAGGTCACTTTACCATATCAGTCACAGAAATGAAGAACATGTATTTTTTTATGATTAAAGCATACTTTGAAGAAGAAGTAGATTTACCTAAAATGCTTTAAAATTTACTGTCAGGAAGTTCCAAAATAATTATGAAAACTGCCAATTGGAACATTATTTAAAGGCATTCAAAGTTCATTATGAAGCACGATATCCACTCAATGTTACTTCTAGGTGTACACTTAAAGCCAACAAAACCTGTATCACACAAATCTGATATAAAAAAAGAAGAAACTAAAAACATTCAAAGTATAGAATATAGTTTAAACCTGCCTTATTTTTTAGTGGTACTGGGGTTTGAACTCAAGACCTTGTGCTTGTGAGGCAGGTACTGTACCACTTGAGCCACTCCACCAGCCCCCTTTATTTTTTTTTTAAATACTGTAACTACTGTATTTCAGTTTAATCATTTAGTTATTTCTGTTACTGATAATTTTTTGTTAGGTCAAACTCATTTGAAGTCTGGATTTATTCAGAAATAGAGACCTAACAAAATATTAGGTTCTCTAGGTCAAGGTTAAAACTGGCAGAAGGGCCAAAAGGAGCATTTGTTTTTGTTTTGAGACAGGGTCTCACCATGTAGCTCAGGCTGGCCTCAAACTCATGATCCTCTTGCCTCAGCCTCTGAAGTACTGGGATTTTTGCATCACCATACCCAGCTGCAAAAGGAGAATTTCATCTGAAGGCATTATATACTGTACTCATCTGATCCCAGTATCAAAGGATGAGATCAGTTTCCCCAATCTAGTCAGTCATTCCATAGGCAAGCATATATGTAAACTTTATTAATCTTCCCAGTTCTGACCATTTTTCATCAAATTTTAATGGTTAAAAATCACCACTCACTGTTTCTTTGAAGGAAGAATTTAGCCAGCGATTATTTACTACATTCTGTATGGATGTGGGTGGGTTTTCTAAATCTTCAAAGGAATCCATTAATATAAAATCCAGAACAACATCATAAAAATTTAGATTTTTCACCTGCATTAAATTGTAAATTAAAATAGAAATTATTGTTACAGAGAGCTGAATAAAATCGATCTAAGGCTTCATACTTTATAACAGCAGGGCTTTTTAAGTTGATCAGATTAAATCTCTGAAAGAAACAGAGGAAGAGATAAATGTGAAAATTTACCAGCGGAAATTACAATTCACATGGCAGCTGCTCCTTCCTAGCCCCGTCAAGTAAAATTAATGCTCCTATTCTCTATTTTAGGACTCTTGTACTCATGCTTCTCTTAGAGCATCCACAATGCTCAATCTGCTTTGTTACTCCGTGACTGATATGTCTGCCTATCACATGCTGTTCCAGGTACTCAGACTTCCACAGCAAGCAAACTAGTTGCCTATGGTCTATAGCAGGAAAACACACAACAAAAGAAGCCCACAAATGTCTAAGTACAAACTCTAACAAGTACAATAAAGGATAAAGAAGCCCACAGTGGAGATTCCGATTTTAAGCTAGATGTCAGAGAGAGCTTCCGTTAGGGAGTGAGGCTTCCCAGAAAGAGGGCATTCCCATCAGAGGACTTCACGGGAAGAAAGAACACAAGGACAATGAATTGATAGAAATCGTTGAAAGTGTGATGCAGCTCTCCACAAGAAAAAGCCCAGAGGAAAATGGTGACAAACAAGGAAGGGTTAGGTCTTGCAGAGATTTATGGCTCAGATGAAGGATTTTTCTATTTATTCTCATGGTACTTGGGATGGGGGATGGGTTGGCAATAGTGGAAGGGAGATGGATGATCAGATTGTATCTTGTAAAGATCATTTTGTAGAAGTGTAGAGACTGGAATAGAGGGGAAAGAGTAATTCAGGGGAGGAGGGCAGTGGGCAGGGAATCGGAATACAAAGATACTGAGGTAGATCTGGGGAAAAATAGTAGAAACTTAGGTCAAGATAGAGGTGGCAGGAATAAAGAAAAGCTAAAGAAAAATTTTAAAAAATATTTAGAAGTTAGAGATGAATATGAAGTGGGTAAGGACCAAGGAAGAGAGTGAAGGAACGAGACTTGGGTTTCTGGCCTGCAGAAGTAAATGGACACTGACTCCACTCACTAAGAGAGGAACACTAGAAAGACCATGCCTCTGTGGATTTGTACCTACTGCTTTCTCTGCCTAGAATGCCTTTCAGGGCCTTGTAAATTCATTCTTTATGCTTCTACTACGAGATGCTCCAGGCTCAGTATCTATTCTTCCTACCTACAGTACTGAAATAAGCATTTTTCTAAGGAGTTCTAGTTCCATTATATTTATTTATTTTGGTGGTACTGGGGTTTGAATTCAGGGTCTCACATTTCCTTTTAGTGAAGTGATAGAAGTAGAGATCTGTGTGCTGGGATAATTTCTTTTGTACTGGTGCTGCTCCCAAGTTCTCTCAATGAACAAGGGTAGGAAGTATATTTAGGTACACCCAAACCTTTATATTTATTTCCATAACTATATATTACAACCTATGAATTCACCATGGCAGTTCTAACTTCAATTCTAACTTTTTATACCTCCCCATTCAGACACTGAGAATCTGGCTCTAATTCAGTAGATCTCAGTAGATTCATTTGTTCAATCCCTAGCTCCACTGAGCTGCTTGTTGTCCTGCTACAGCCTGACAATTAATTTGTAAATGAAAGGAAGAAAGAAAAGAAGGGTGGGAGAGAGGGGTGAACAAAGAAAAGGAATTATTTCTGAAAAACAATTATTTACAACAATTGACCCAATATATAGAGAATATAGTTTCTAATATTTAAGACTGTCAGAAAAATGATTTTGTCCAATTGGTTTGACTGTCATTTAACAAGGATAAAGAAACAGTGGCCTTAACTCATGTACACACGTGCAAATAACTAAGAGGAATAAATATTATATGAAATTTGAATTTACCCCTCTAGCAGCAAGCTCCATTTCAGTACTATCCCAATGATCAGTCTGCTCTAAAAAATATATCATTTCATCAAAAACGTCTTCAAACTTCTTTGGATTCTACAGAAGAAAACACATTTCAGTCCTAAACTTAACTTTATAACAAGACTCAAGCTTACAAAATAAATAAGTAATCTTCGAGTAAGTTGGTTGAATCGTCATTATTTTAGGTAACTGAATTAGAAAATATTTAAGGATTGTCAAATTATCTACTATTCATTTACTATTTTGTTGCTATTTTGCAGAAACCAAGAATCACAGTGTTAGTAAAACATCACAGCAAACTGTTTTTCACTCAAATGTATATGTTTATGTAGGTCATTCTTAAGATGAAAATGTGGTTGTTGTAGATGCCGTGTGATGCTTCTGATGAGCTCTGCTCCTTTTGGAAGCACTCTAGTGCAAATCCCTTTATCTGTTAAGGGAAGACTGAGAGAGCAATGTAAGATTCACACTGGGAATTGCAAGGGGTTCATACTGTGTTACATTTATTTATTAGTACTTTACATTTTCAATTACTTTCCCACTTATCATTTATTTCATCATAATAACAATCCTCTGAAATATGGTAAGATAAATATAATTCTATGATACAAATGACAGAATTGAGGTTGAAAGGGATTGGATCTGGAAACCAGGTGAGCAAATGGCTCCAGGAAGGCCTGTTTTGTGCTGTTTTTTTTTTTTCTCATCATCTGGAGAAACCTTGCTTAAAGTAAAGTAGTTCCTTAGAATCTGAATGAAGTACTTGTCATTGTTTCTCCCTCATTCAGACCCAGGAAGATGAGTAAGACACAGATAAATTTGTAGTCCAGATTTCTGAATACACTATTCCCTGTAACCCTGTTCCTGAATAGTACCGGGGGAGTTAAGAGGAGATATTAGAAATAATAGTAATTGTGGTTATAGCAGCAGCAAATTCTGAATAATTTATAAGAAACAACTTGGTCAAGAGAGTATGGACTTTATATACACAAAAGAACCCAAGTGGAAATCAATGCTCTTTGGATTATTTTTATTTGTTTATTTAGCTTTCTGATGGTACTGATATTTGAACTTGGGGCCTTGCTCTTACTAGGCAGGTGCTCTACCACTTGAGGCATGCCCCCGTCCTTTTTTGGTTTATTTTTTATATAGGGTCTTGTGTTATTTGTCCAGGGCCATCTCAGGCCATGATCCACTTGCCTATGCCTCCCATGTAGCATCGATGGAAGGCATGAGCCACCATGCATGCCCATTTTTGGGTGTGTGTGTGTGTGTGTTACTGCGGATCAAACCCAGGGCCTCATGCATGCTAGGCAACCACTAAATCACTGAGCTATATCCCCAATCTGATGCCCAGCTTTTTGAGATGGGGTTTGGTTGACTTTTTGCCTAGGCTAGCTTTGAACCACAATACTCCAGATCTCTACCTCCTGAGTAGCTGGGATTACAGGAATGAATCACCTTGCTCAATCCTTGGGTTATTTTTAATATGTGGGCCTTTCTAACCATCTACAAAAATTTTTCCAACTATTAAAATTTTAAAGTATTTTAGTGAGCTGTCAGTGGTTCACACGTATAATCCTAGCTACTTAAGAAACTGATATGGGAGGATCATGGTTCAAGACCAGGTAGGAAAAAAAAATATTAGCAAGACCCCTATCTCAATCAATAGCTGACCACAGTGATGTGTGCCTGTTATCCCAAAGTACACAGGAGGCTAAGATTGTGAAAATCATGGTTGCAGGTTATCCTCGGCAAAAAAATTTCTTGAGACCCCCATCTCAATGGAAAAAAGCTGGGCATCATGGCACATGTCTGTCATCCCAACTAAGGTGGAAGGAGGAAAATAAGAGTATCATGATCCAGTCTGGCTTGGGAAAAAGTAAGGTCATACCTCCAAAATAACCAGAGCAAAAAGGACTGACTGGAAGTGTGGCTCAAGTGGCTTACTAAGTGCAAAGCCCTGAGTTCAAACTTAGTACTACCAAAAAATTATTTAATCTTCAGTTAAACAAAAGCAGTAATTTAAAAAATTGTTTACAAGTTTACCTTTCGTGCTTTCACAATTAAAGCTGATAAAATTTTTCTTCCGCTTTCAGCAAGGAATATTCTGTTGGCTGTTTCTGAAAGAATTACCTAAAAAAAAAAAAAAATCCCCAAACAAAGCAAAAAGAGACCTATAATGAATGTGGAGAGCCAGTTTTATAGCACATCTATACAGAAATCACCCTAACACAGTTAATGCACTGCATGTGGTACTATGTCAACAGGCAGACCACAGAAAAAAGTCCAAATTTCCTAAAATAAAAAGAGCTCTTTATAGCATTCAAGGTATAATCAGAAAAAGATTAAAGGGAGATAAATATGAATTTAAATTTTGTTTAACATAAGTGGAAAGTCTAAAATTATTTTATATAATTTTAGAAAAGCATAAAAGATATTTCATTATAAATTGACCTTATTTCTTTTTAGAAAATCAGTAATTTTAATCACAGATTCAAATTTTAAAAACCTAAAATACAAACTAATTGATAATAACAAAGAAGATTTTTATTTTTTTTTCTTTTTTTGTGGCACTGGGGTTTGAACTCAGGGTCTTATGCTTGCTAGGCAGGCGCTTTTACCACTTGAGCCACTCCGCCAGCCCAACAAAGAAGATTTTTAAGCAGCCATTTTAATACACCTATAGCATCAAAAAATCCTGATCGACAAAGTGTGGTGGACCTGGGAAGCTGGGATAGGATGGTGACAAATGAAGACAAAGTGGTAGGAAGAAACAAACTTAGTAGAGTTCCCATCTGCCATCAGCAACAGGGATAAGATAATAAGAGCCAGGAGCTGTCTGCATATGTGCACTGGACTCTATAGCACAGGTGGAGATGGGTGGCCAGGCAAAGTGCTTCATGTTTAAAAAGTACCTGAAAAGCCTGTCGAACACAATGAAGCTTGGCAAGGAAATCACTGTCTCCTAGGCACTCCAACATTTCAGTTCTGTGTAATGAACAGGGGAAACAATTGTTAAGCTTCATTCATGATCAAACCTACTACAAATCTGGACTCAAACAAGGCTTAACCGAGCGCTTAATGTAAAACACATCTTCTCCATACTGAGAACAAAACTCTTTACTTGGACCAAAAGTGATTTTTTCTTTATTCTCATAAACATAATTTAATAAATGTCACATAAACACAGCAACAGCCCCTTAAGGCTTTCCACTACCATAAGCAGAACTGGAATGGCACCTCAGTACTCGGGAGTAAATTTTTCCTTCTTCAACTAAATGCATGGCTTCTTCGTAAAAAGGGCAGCGGCAAAAAGATTCCAGGCTGTAGGTATGCTGCACTTCTCTGTGGTCTGCAAGCTAAGAACATAGTGAATTAAAATAATTACACTGACGTAAGAACTATAAGGCAGGCACCAGCGGCTCATGTCTGCAATCCTAGCTACGTGGTGGGCTGAGATCAGGACATTGAAGTTTGAGGCAGGCCTGGACAAATAGTTCTATCTCCAAAATAAGCAGAGCAAAATGGACTAGAGGTGTGGCTCAAGTAGTAGAGCACTTACTTTGCACAAAGTCCTAAGTTCAAATCCCAGTCCCACCAAAAAACAAAACAACAAAAAAGAACTAAGAAAGAAAATAGGATTTCCCTATTATCAAAATATACTAAATGAGATTAAACTACAAAAATCATTCATTAATATTTTATAGCCAAGAAAACCTAAATTTATTTTACTTCAAAATGCAGTTGTTAGTTTCAGGCCAGTCTGGGCTACACTGCAAGATCCTGTCTCAAAAAACTTGAATTGTTAAAAAGAGTAAAACTTTGTAGCAAGCTTAGTTCATTTTGAATTCAACTATTTAAATCCATAGAATGCACAAAAAACAATGTATCTATCATCATACTTTTCACCAATAAGATGAAGAGTAAACATTAGAGAGAGGAGGATTTATATTATCCAAACAGTACTTAAAAGTACAGCCTATGAAACAAAACTTTCTACAAAGATACGGAAATAAGCTCAACTTGGCTGTCCTAAGGAACTCTGTCTCATACACAGCTTTGATAACCTTTGTAAAACTAAGATAGCCATGTTCTGTGACTCTACAAATAGTCTAACAACTAATTTCAGTCTTCTGATAGCTCATTAAAAACAACAAACACTATAGAGTAGGTGCCTGCTAAACAGGCGTTCTATCATTTGAGCCACACCTCCAGCCAAAAATTCACTCTTTTAAAATACAGAACCTAGTGGGTTTTTTATTTATTCACAGAGTTGTACAACCAATACTACTTTCTAATTCCAGAACACTTTGTCACCCCACCAAGAAACACCTTCTCCATTAGTAGTCACTTCCAGCTCCCCCTGTTCCTAATTTCTGAAGAAACCGCTACTTCAGACTCCCTGGAGTTTCATATTCTGGAAATTTCATAGAAATGGACTCAAACCATATGTGGACTTTTGTGTTTGGCTTCTTTCATTTAGTATAATGTCTCCAAGACTCATCTACAAAGACCAAGTTTTGTGGCTGAATAAAATTCCATTGTATCGATCTACCACATTTAGTTTCTTTGTTTCTCGCTGAGGGACATTTGGGTTGTTTCTACTTGTTGAGTATCATGAATAGGCTATGAAAATTTGTGTACGAGTTTTTGTGTAGATGTATGTTTTCAATTCTAGGAATGGAAGGCTCAGATGCTAACCTACATTTTATTTTTTGAGGAAATGCTAGACAGTTTTGCAAAATGGCTGCTCATTTTCCAAATTTTTAGATATCCTCAATAACAACTGTAATTGCCCCTTTTCAATTTATTTATTTATTTATTTATTTTGGGTGGTACTGGGGTTTGAACTCAGGGCCTTACATTTGCCAGGCAGGCACTCTACTACTTGAGCCAGTCTGCCAGCCCTTCACCCATTTTCAAATTGAATTATTTATTATTGAGCTTTAAGAGTTCTTTATATATTCTAAATGTAAGCCCTTTGTTAGATATATAATTCACAAATATTTTCTCCTTTTTTGGTGTGACTGGGATTTGAACTCAGGGCCTCATACTTGCTAGGCAGGCACTCTTGCTTCTGGAGCCACTCCATCAGCCCTTTTGTGATGGGTTTTTTTCAAGATAGGGTCTAGTGAACTATTTGCCCCAGGGCTGGCTTTGAACCATGCTCCCCCTGATCTCTGCTTCCTGAGTAGCTAGGATTCCAGGAGTGAGCTACTAGTGCCTGCCTGGAAATTCTTTAAATACTAACCAGTTTTAAAGTTTTTACCACCTTCAAAACAAACAGAATCCATGTACATCTATTAACAGGGGAAAATCCAAAGAAGGAAATCTGGGCTTCAATTAAACCCTTTACATAAAATAATTTATACTATTAAGAAGTGAGCAGAATGGCTGTTCCCCAGAAGGCAGTGTCACTTTGTAACCTCTTAGCCTCAGTATCCAGAGCACCAGAAAAGGAGCATTTCAAGTCAGACAGAATTTTGTATGTACCATTTCTTTGGAACCTTCAGCCCTCAAGATCCCAACATCACAACCATCAGCTTCAGCACAGTTACTCTTAGTCCTCATTTCACAGCTCTTGGTTCTGCCTGACATGGAAGCGGGAGAAGCCAGAGATGATCTCGTGGTAGGTGTGGTTCTCAGCATTACAGGCACTGGTGCATGCTTGGAATGTAAGCATGAAAGAGAAATGGACAGATGTGACTTTCAAGGGCCTCCTGAATCAGACTTCACCCTAAAAAACCTTGTACTACAAAGCTACAGCTTTGCTACCTTAAGTTTCCCAGCAGTGAGTAAGGTGGTTAGTTGTTTTCCATGAAATGGAAACAGATGGGTGTTTGTTAAATGAGGAAAAATGTCTTCCTGACAACAAATAATGCCTAGAAAAGTGCAGCCTATAATTTGTATCTACTACTTAGAAAGTGGGTCAAAGGTTACTTAAATTTGAGTAATATTTCAGTTTTAGAATTCTCAAAGCACAAGAAATAGAGAAGCTTTTGCCCAGAATCTAGCAAATAATCACTGTCTCCTAAACCACTGAAGAGTCTTTTCCTTCATGTTTTATTAATTTTTATCTTTCAAGTTAATATTATACTTAGATATCAAATAGCCAAAAATTCTAACTTTTATCTCTGGGGAAAAAAGTTTAGAAAAATATATGCAAGGTATCTAATACTGAAATGGAGAAAAATTTAATGCTTAAAAAAAAAAAAAAAAGAAAAGAAAAGAAACCTTTAAGCCGGGTGCCTGTAATCCTAGATACTCAGGAGGCAGAGATCAGAAGAACCGTGGTTTGAAGCCAGCTGGGGCATGTAGTTCGTGAGACACTGTCTCAAAAAAAACCCAACACACACACACACACACACAGAAGGGGCTGTTTGAGTGGGTCAAGGTGTAGGCCCTGAGTTCAATCCCAGTAATGCAAAAAAAAAAAAAAAAAAAAACCAAACCTTTATACTGATAATGAAATGGAGAAGAAATTTAATTAAAAAAAAAACAAACCCGTACATCAATGGTGAGAAGTACTATATTATTTAAATCCATTATGCTTCAAAAAATAAATCAGCAAATCCAACAATAAGATTCCAGAGTCAAATCTTGATTTAATGGCCTATCCTGCTTATTGTTGGATGGATTAAAGTATTTAAATCAGTCTCCTAAAATAGGCTTTCAGCTGAGAAAATGTATTAAAGATTTGACACTAGCTAACAGAAACAATTATTTAAATCTTTACTCTTAAATTTTTAAGCAAAAAAGTCACTGAAATGTTAGTTTAAATTTTCATTTTAGAATAGGCTTTATAAGAAGAAGTTTTCAACTTTTGAAAAAGTTTCAGAAAAGATTAATAATTAACCAGAGTTAATATGCTACCTCAGAAGCCGAAGTCAGAAATAATGGGCTGGGCTTGGTGGCTCATGCCTATAATCCCAGCTACTCAGAGGCAGACACTGGGAGAATCACTATTCAAGACAAACTCGGGCAAAAAGTTAGAGACCTCCCCAAAGTCAACAACCAAGCTGGGCAACTGGAGAAAGCCTGAAATCCAAACCAGTGGGAGACCCTGTAGGAAGATAGCAGAATTTACCTAGCACAGGCAAAAAAGTGCAAGATCCTATCTGAAAAATAACTAAAGTAAAAAGGGCTGGGGTTTGGCTCAAGTGATATAGCACAAGGCTCTGAGTTTAAACCTTAGTATTGTCAAAAAAAAAAAAAAAAGGAAGTCAATAATATGGCTTAATTCCAGATATGGAAACATGTAATTTATCATGAAAGGGATCACCTTTTTCTTTTTGCTAGCTCAAACTTGTTCTAAATATTTTGTTCTAAAATATTCTTTCTCAAAAGGGCACATTTCAAAAACTCATCCTTTCAAAAAGAAAAGTTAATACTATATTAATTTATATTGAAATATCATCCTGCCTTATTAGTTATCCCCCATATTTCACAAGTATTCGAAAAATAACCATAGAAGAAATCAAACAAATCAATAACAATAGCTACAATTTTTAAAAACCAGACAAAATAGATAAATCCCATAGATGAAGCAACCAGTGAAGGCAATGTTTTGAAATCAGATGAAGACTTAAGCATGCTACGTATTTCTCTTGTCCTCCATGAGGTGTAAGAGGGATGCAGTCTTATCTTCCTTGACATATGATGACGTCACTGAACAAGAAGTCATATTTTTAAAGTCTTAAAGTCTTAATCATGTTACTCCAGACCAGAGTATGAATGAAATAGCTTTGAAGTTCCAAATCTATTAATAGGCTAATTTCCATTTAAATATGGACCTCTTTTTACATGTTCACATTTTCCTTTCAAATCCACCACTTACAAGTAGGACCTACAGTTAAAGAAAGCAGTCTGTTTCCCTATTTCACTAACAGGAAAGAAATATAAAAGAAAATAAACCAACAATAGTTCCTCTTTAAATTATTGGTCCTCAATGATTCTCTCATTCATAGTCCAACACTGGACAGAGCTAACCAATATGCTGTAACCAACAGCATATTCTGGAAATGATGGAGTGTGATTTCTAAAGAAAGGTGGTAACAGTCATCCCTTCTACCTTGCTCACTTGTGGATCATTCTCCCTAGGGTGAAGAAACCAGGTGCCATGTCGTGAAGATAATCAGTCCTACAGAAAACTTGAGAAACTTAGGTCCCCTGCTAACAGTTATACCAACTTACCACTCATATGAGTGACTGAGTTATCCTGGGAGAGGATCCTCCAGCTCATCACACCTAACACCTCCATACTTTCATAGAAGAAAAACTTTAAATGGCAGATGCTATGGTTTGGACATGAAGTGTCCCTTCCAAAAGCTCATGTGTTAATATGCTTGATTGTCAGCTAGTGGGCTTCGGGGAAGTGATTGCACCATGGGGGCTCTGACCTAATCAATGGATTAATCCACTGATGGAATGGATTCATAATCCATCAGTGATGGCATTACTGGAAGGTGGTAGAAACTTTTGGAGGTGGGGCCTAGTGGAGGAAGTAGGTCACTGGCAGTGTGTTCTTAAAGGCTACATACTGCAGGGCGCCATTGGCTCACACCTGCTAATTCTAGCCAACTGGGAGACTGAGATCAGGAGAATCGAGGTTTGAAGCCAGCTTCAGCAAATAGTACATGAGACTCTATCTCCAAAATAACCAAAGCAGGACTGGTGGAGTGGCTCAAGTGGTTTAGTACCTGCCTAGCAAGCTTGAAGCCCTGAGTTCAAACTGCAGTACCACCAAAATAACCAGAACAAAATGGACCGGAGGTGTGGCTTAAATGGTAGAGTGCCTGCTTTGCAAGCACAAAGTCCTGTGTTCAAATTCCCATGCTGTTAAAAAAAAAAAAAGGCTATCTATTGTCCCTGACCCCTTCTTCATGTCCCTCTGCTTCCTGCTGCCACAAGGAACAGCTGCCCTCTGCTATGCCCTTCCACCATGAAGTTTCTGCCTTATCATGGGCCTAAAAGCAGTGGAGCCAGCTGACCATGATGGAAACCTCTGAAACCATGAACCAAAATAAATCCTTCCTTCCTTAAGCTGTTTTCTCAAGTACTTTGCCACAGTGACAAAAAGTGACTAATCCAGAAAAATTGTACTGAGAGGTGGGGTCATTACTGTGATTTACCTGACCATGATTTTCAAGTCTTGGGACCTGGTTTGCAGGAGAAATTTGGAAAAGTTTGGAGAAATGAGCTAGAAAAACCTTAGAATGCTGTAAGAGGTACTTAATGAGTACTTCTGATGGGAACTCAAAAGATCAGATTGCCGGGCAAAATGTAGACAGTAAAGACAGTAAATATTGCTAGCTGCTTTTAGCGACATTTTCAGTGAGAATCAGGAGCAAAAAGCATTTGAAAAACTTAAGTTTGGCCAGAAAAGGAGCATGGTTAAAGCTGGGGCCCAGGAAGGTATGCTTGTTAAAGAGATTGTTAAAAAGAATCCAAGTATGCACCAGGACAATAGAAAAGATAACTTGAGACTATCTCCACACTGACCAGACCCTACCCATTACAAGCTCCAGGGTGTAAAATCATAAGTTCATTTGAAAAACTTTCCCGAGGGCACCCTGCTGGCACAGGGCCACCTAGGAGTTTCCTCATGATTCATTTCACTCACTCAGCCCAGGCACTCAGAAGTTGCTGCAGTCATTGTCTAAGGGGGCCCAGACACTGCTCAAGCTGGCAGTAGACCTTGGTATTATCTACCTGATGCTAGTTTTGCAGGTAAGCAGAATTTAAGAGTTACTGGGTCACAGAGACTTCAACCAAGATTTCAAAGAAAGACCTGGGAGGCCAGGCAATGTGAAGCAGAGTAAGATTTCCTGCAGGCAGTCCCTTAGAAGATGATGCATGAAGCTGTAAGAGTGAAACCCAAGAGCCGCTGGAGGTCCAGGAAACTAGAGATGCAAGGAACATGTAACATCTCCTGTAGGAAGCAAGCAGAGCCAGCCCAGAAAGAGTGGCCACGTGAGCTACAGTCACCAAGACCACAGAGGCAAGACTGCCAAAACCTTCACATCATACTGTTATATGCCCTGGATGGACAAAAGCTGCAGGATTTAATGTTTGCCTTTCTGGGTTTGGATCTTGCTTTGGTCCAATCCTTCCTTGATAGTCTCCTATTCCTCCCTTTTGGAATGAGAAATTGACCTTGGGCCTGTCCCACCCTTTATGCTGGAAGTCTGTAACTTGCTTTTTTAACTTTGCAGGGGGCTCACAGCTAAGAGTTTGCCTTAAGTCTCAGAGTACACTTTGGACTTGGACTCTTGGGAATTGCTGGGGCTACTGAGACTCTGGGGATGGACTACTGCACTTTTGCATTATGAGATGGCATGAGCCTGTTGGGGCCAAGGGCAAAATGTTATGATTTAGATACGAATTCCCCCAAAAAGCTGATATGTTAAAATCCCAGTTGCTAGCTGATGGACTTTTGGAAAGTGATTGTATCATAACGGCTCTGATCTCATCAATGGATTAATCAATTCCTGGGTTAAATATTTGATGATATTATTGGAAGGCAGTGGGGACTCAGACAAAGTATTTCACTGCGGGGGGGGGGGGGGGGGGGGGGGGGGTGTCTTATCCCTGGCTCCTTCCTCAAGTTTCTGCTTCTTGGATTTCATGAGGTAAGAAGCTCTTCTCTATCATGGCCTTTCACCATGATTTCTCTGCCTTGCCATGAACCTAAAAGCAATGGAACCAATCAGCTGACCATGGACTGAATTCTCTGAAACAGTAAGCCAAAATAAATCTTTGTCCTTTCCAATTGTTCCTCTCAGGTGTATGTCACAGTGGCAAAAAACTAACTAACACAGTAGCTATAGTTTCCCTTTTCAGATTATTATCATTCTAAATATCTTTGTCATTTTCTATGTTATTTTTGGTGTATTTTTTGCATTGCTATAAACAGATGCTGTAAACTCAGATTAATAGATATAGCAAAAAACTTCCCACATTTCCATCCAGAGTATGAGTAGAATTATAAAAATAAACTTTTCTCTTTAAAGACAAGTCTAAAACTTATAAAAATGCTACACACAGTGCAGAGTGATAATTCTAAGAAAAACTGAATCTATAGCTTAAGTTTCTCTTAGCACAATATTAGTTTCTATCTGTTAAATGACAATCTCTTTAATAGATGGGAGGGTTAGAAGCATAATGTGATGGTCTTCAAACATTAATAAGAAAAACGTTCATTAATTATCAGGAAGCACAAAAAAAAATCCCCATGGAATATCATCTCATTCTAGCTAGACAGGGTATTTCAAAAACCCAAGGGTTGGAGGTATGGTTCAAGTGGTAGAAAAAAAAAAACAAAGGTTGGAAGACTGTGTCAAGTGGTCAATATTCTATAACATGGTAGGGCAACTATGGTTGACAATTAGTTGAATATTTCAAAATAACTAGTAGAGAGATTTTTAATGTTCCCAACACAAAGAAATAAGTGTCCAAAGTGAGAGATATGCCAATTACCCTGATCTGGTCATTACACATTATATACCTGTATCAGCATGTCACCCTATACCCCATAAATATATATGACAACTAAGTCAATTAAAAAATACATACTAAAAAAAGACTTTTCAAAACTTGAAGGAAACCATAATGCAAAGTAAAAGCCAAATATATAATTTCAAATACTATATGATTCCATGTACACAAAAAGCCCATAATATGGCAAATTCAGAGTCAGCAGGTAGATTACTGACTTCCAAGGGCTGGAGAGAAAGGGGAAAGAATGAATGCTCATGAATAGGGGTTTATTTTGGGGGTAATAATATTCTGGAGGGGCTGGGGTGTAACTCAGAGGAAGAATGCTTGCCTCGTATGTGCAAGGCCCTAGGTTTGATCCTCAGCACTGAAAAAAAAAAAAAAAAGTTCTGGAAGCCTGCCACAGTGATACACGTCTATAATCCCAGTACTCAGGAGGCTAAGGCAGGAGGATGGAAAGTTGGAGGTCAACCTGAGCTATATAGCAAGTTCGAGGCCAGCCTGGGCAACATAGCAAGACCCTGTCTATACATATATTGGAATTCAAAAATAGTGTTGGTCGCATAGGTCCAAGACTATTATTATTTAAAAACCACTAAACAGTACACTTTAAAAGAGTGCATTTTATGCCACATACATTACATCTTGACAAGCCATTATATTTAAAAAACTGTGGTTCCGAATCAATGTTTGGCAACGTTTATATTGAAAAATCTTGTTAATCACTTTCACAAATGATTAGCCTAACTTAGAGAAAAGCTCACTGCAGGAACTGTCTTAATCTAAATAAACAAGAAATCTTACTGCTAATCCTAAACAAAGCTCTCAAACGATTAAAAACTATTTAATTTTTCAGAATTCTGGTCCCATTTTTCTTAATGACTTTTGGCATTAAAATAGCTTTCTCTAATTTAAGCATTTCATACAGAGTAAATATAGTTAAAAATAATTTAACAAACATTCCTTATAACGTAAAAGAATTTATCTTGGAACATTCGTATTTTGAGATCATACAATTGTACCCTAGAAGCATTCCTAGGATGTTTCTTTGATATTGAGTCGTTCTTGTATACATTCATATACTTTGTTTTCCATGAGAATTTTTTAAAAGTATTAAAACTCTGTAATTTAAACAAATTTAAAGTGAGTCCAATGAATACTTGAATTTTTTTCTTTTTGGTGGTACTGAGGATCAATTCCAGAGTCTTGTACATGCCAGGCAAACACTCTAGCACTAAGCTGTACCCCAGCTCCCAAAATATTTTTAAAAGTTATATATTAGAAAGAAACTTTAACTGACAGGCATGGTGTTATATGCCCGCAATTCCAGCACTCAGAAGAATTGTGAGTTTGAACCTAGTCTGAGCTACATAGTGAAACCCTGTCTCAAAAGAAAAAAAAAAAAAAAAGAAGCTAATACAAATCTTGAGAGGATGAAAGAGATTATATAGACAGTACTGCTTTAAAAAAGGGAGAAATGGGTTGTTTTCATCTTCACTCTAGAGACAAATAGCTTTCAGTCTATTGAAAATGTATTTTTTTCCTGATAAACTTTACCATTAGAAAAAGGGAGAAATAGGTAAGGGTATATGGTTGATGGACTTCATATATTTATATGAAATAGGACAAAGAAATCTCTTGCAACTGCTTTAAGGGGGATGGAGAAGACTGAGGGGGAGAGATGTTGGGGGGTGATCTAACAAATGTACAATATAAGCCTAACTGGAATTGTCATATGAATCCCCCTTTGAATAATGAACATACCAATAAAAAATTTATAATAATAAGGGAAATAATAAACAAATAAATAATTTTTAAAAGGGAGAATCAAGGTTCAGGATGCAAAGCTATGCCATACCTACAGTTTTCTGTACTATAGAATGAATTCACGCATCAGTTAAAGGTATGTAACACTACTTATATGAACAAGTCAACATCTAATATCCCAAATCTACCACAAAATGTAAATATTCTAGGATAAAATTGGACAAATGTGATTTTAAGCTTGTTTTTTGTTTTTTTGATGGGACTGGGGTTTGAACTCAGGGTCTTGCACTTGCTAGCAGGTGCTCTGCCACCTAAGCCACTCTGCCCCCCCAATTTTTAACGAATTAAAAGTAGAAAAAAAAAGAAAAAGAAAAGATGACTTCTTTCTAAGCAGTATCTTTTGGTACAATATTTAAATCTCATTAGAAAACAAATTACCCATTGATTTAAAATTTAATGGTCACTAGAGTTCCTGCCTAGCAAGCATGAGGCCCTGAGTTCAAACTTCAGTACTGCAGAAAAATAAAATAAAATTTAGTGATCACCACTGTTTACACATTAGTGTTTTATATCTAGCTTTTTTCTTCTGCCTCTATGCCTGCATAATGTATCACTTTAAAAATTAAAGTCATACATTCTATATAAAACTTTATGAATTATACTTTACTTAATATATGTTCCCATGCCACTATAAATTATTAGAAAGATGTTTATGGTTATGTATTTCAAATTACAGATGTCCACAATTTGGCATTTAACTGTTTTCAGTTTTTCATTATTATTAAAATGCCATAGTAAATATTTTTATATATATGTTAGAACAGAAGTATGATTTGTGAATCTGAACATTTTCCCTTTGAACATAAACTGGAAATTGCTTTCCTTTAAGAAAGGACTTCATGTGCTTCATTCATAGTTCACTATCTAAGTACCCACTGAGCATACGTGTACATGTCCACCTCCTTACAAGACTCCTGTGGGAGGCTTATATTCATGCTGTATTCATCGCCGGATCTTGGTATTTACCATAAAAATAAACAGCAACTAGCCAGTAGCAGAATACACTTGTAATCCTAGCACTTGGGGGACTAAAGCAGAAGAATCACAAGTTCCAGGCCAGCCCAGGCTACACAGCAAGAACCTGACTCAAATTAAAAAAAAAAAAAAAAAAAAAAAAGCAACGGACCTGATTTATAGCACAATGACAAAACTATACTCTCTTACTGAAAAAGAGATCCTCACTGCAAACATACATGTCTTACCTCTGCTGCTGAAGCAAAAGAATCAGTTGAGGCAGTGCTCAAGGTGTCTCGCAGGCCAAAGTCATCCATGGTCCCCTTCACTGTGGTATCTGTATTTTTATCTTAAAAGTGAAAAAGGTGAAAAGTTCAGAAATCAGTATTCTTTGTCTCTGCCATATTTCACTTTCTATAGCTTGATTCTTCCCCAGTCTTTAGTTAGACAGTTAGGATCTAAAAGGCAAACAGTAACAAAGCAATGGGGTATAACCTGGGACAAGACACTCAAAGTCTATCCACTGTTTAACTGACTCCGAAGCACTGCCAAACACAGGAGAAAATGCTATAAAGCACACTTCAGTTTTTAATTTAGAAAGAGATTAAGCATAATTTTAGAGTAAAGGGGCTTTTGAGCACATCTTGATTATCTACATTATTTTGATTCATATTTTGATTCATGGTAAAATCAGAATATATCAAAACTAGTTTAAATCCAAATGATTTTTTTGCAAGAGGTCTTGTCCAAAATAGTAGAACTGTAAGGTTCATTCAAATCAACTAAATTCTTAACATAAAAATATCTGGTCAGTCACTTGTAGTAAGCTGATCAATTAAAACAATTCCAGAAGTTCGATTTTAAAAACCTACTTTAAGAGCTGGAAGCATGGATCAAGTGGTAGAGCACCTGCCTAGCAAGTATGAGGCCCTGAGTTAAACCACAATACTGCCACAAAAACAAATACATAGATAGATAGATAAAAAGAAAGAAAAGAAAAAGTTACTTTAAAAAGCAGAACAGCAGTCAGGCACAGGTGCCTCACTCCTGTAATCCTATCTTCTTGGGAGGCAGAGATAGGAGGAGATAGGAGGACTGAGGTTTGAAGCCAGCCCTAGCAAACAGTGTAAGAGACCCTATCTCAAAAATATGCAACACAAAAAAAGGACTGGGAGCACTGGTTCAGGTGGTAGAGCCCTTGCCTAGCAAGTGTGAGACCCTGAGTTCAAAACTTAATATTGCCAAAAAAAAAAAAAAAAAAAAAACAAACCTGAACAGCCAACAAAGATCAGAACTAGGTCCCTGACATTCATTCTGCTTACTTATTTAAGGGCCAAATATAACTGCCTCAATGATTTAAAGGGCTGAATAAAAGCTTAAACAGTTTGGAAATTATTTATCTGGCCATACCAAGACAGGCTATTTGCAGTATACAGCATTCTGAATATGGATGTGAAGAGCTTCACATCAGGAATCTAGTCAATGACCCTTAAGTTTTCAAATAAACATTCTACTTACCCATGTGATTATACTGTAAAAACAGATGATATACATCAAAATTATCACAGGTATAAAAAGCAAAGGATAAAATATATACAGCTTTTTCCTATTTTGATTCTCAATGTGTTAAATTTGTTGAGCACTTTATCTCTTAAAAGAAACCAGAAATTTCCTTGACTTTCATTTATCTAAATTTCTATTCCATTCATTACCTTTACCAGAAATCTTTCAAGTTCTCTTTAAAACCCCTAAAGTACACCAGACACAGTTGGTTCATGCCTTTAATCCTAGCTTCTTAGGAGGCCAAAATCAGGAGCCTGGGCAAATAGTTCCTAAGAACTCATGTCCAGAACAACCACTACAAAACAGACTGGAGGTGTGGCTAAGTGGTAGAACACCTGCTTTGCAAGCACAAAGCCCTGAGTTCAAACCTAAGTCCCCTGAAAAATAATGAAAAAAACCTAAGTACCAGAAAACATCATTTGTGACTCACAGGGAAGTTTTTTTTTTTTTTATTCAAAACAAGTTGTGCAAACAATTATATTCCAAATTCTAAGCCAAGCAAGAGAGGATAAGCCTCAACTTACACAAATTCACTCCTATTAAGCATCAAAACAACCACCCACATTGCATATTTTTTCCTACTTTATTTTTGGAAGGACCAGACTCCACATTTACTTCTAAATTTAAATTATAATTGTTTTCAGGTAAACTTTATATCAATCCTTTGGAAGTATCTAATTTTTAGCTTAAAATCATTCTACAAAGCCAGGCATGAGGGTACATGCCTATAGTTCCAGCTACTCAGGAGAAAAGAGGACCTCTTGAGGCCAGCTTTATGACACAGCCAAGCCTCAACTCAAAAATGAATGAATGAATGATAAATAAATAAATAAATAAATAGATCTTCTACCAAATGATTCTTAGTGGGACAAAATCTGAGGTGAAATTATTCTATTTCAAAAATATTATAGAAATTTACCATTTTCCATCAAACTAGAGAATAAAGCAACATAACTGCTTCACACTTATAGCTACTTATAAAATTGGTATCTTTGGACACTCAATTATGGGAAAACATCCAGTAATTATCTTTTCTGTGCATATAAAAGTTTTTAAAATTATACACACACCAGGCACAGTGGTAAATGCCTATAATCCCAGCACTAAGAAGACAAAAGGCAGAACTGTGAGCTCCAAGCTGGCCTGTATTCCACAGCAAGATTCTGTCTCAAAAAACAAAATGAAAGAATATACATACTTTGAGATTATTTATGAAATTTAACCAGTATGTAAAACTTTTAGAAGTTTTATTATTTTCCATTCTTCCTACTACCTGTGAAAAAAAGAAATCACAGTACAATCTTCATTGTGTCACAGCATCTTCAAAGCAGGATTAAATTTACAACCATTTATCTCTTGGTTCCATATGCTTTTTTGCTATTTTCAGAGTGGGACACAAACGTTTATCTTCTGCCACTTTACCTTTCAGACAATACCCAGGAGCTGCTAAAAGTCTGTTTTACTTCCATCAACAGTACCAGCCATTCAATGTCATTCCAATCAGTTACCACTGTACTTTGAGGGGGGGAAAAAAAAAAACCTAACAAAAATGGTTCAATTCCAGAAGAACTAGATTTACTCATTAAATCCATCTCCATAAATCACAGAGCATACCTCTTATTTCAGTAATTGTTACGAATCATAACAATAATTATGAAGAGAAGTAACCCATCTGTTTTTCAGATGAGCCAATGAAAAGTAAAAAAGTAAGAATCTTTGGTACTATCCCAAACTAACTGCTTTCATGTATCCAATTAAAATTTTAAATACTCTTTCTAAGGGCCAGTGGTGTGGCTCTGTGGTAAGAGTGCCTGCCTAGCAAGTACGAAGTCAAATTCAAACTCCAGTACTGTCCCAACCCCCAAAAAACTCCAAACAACAGCAACAACAAAAAACTCTTTCCAAAACATACCAAGTCTTTTTTATTTGTTTCTTTTGTTTTGTTCTGAGACAAGTTCTAACTATGTAGTCCAGGTTGGCCTTGAACTTGTGATCCTCCTGCCTCAGTCTCCCAAGCCCTGAGATTATAGGCATGTACTATCACACCCCACTTAAAAAGTATCAACTTTTGGTTGTGATACTGAAAGACAGGGTCAGCATGAAAATTTGAAAACTAAAGCTTTCATCTTAGTCAATAGTTTTACAAACTGCTTATTAAATTTGTCTTAGTAGGAAAAAATGCTAAAACCATAATGAGGTATTTATATACCAACCAGAATGGCAATAATTGGGAAAAGATGGCAATTTTTTTTCCAGAGGTGTACTGCAGTGGAAACTCTAACATACCACTGGTGAAACCATCTACCACAGGTAGAACTATTTTAGAAAGGCTGGTATTATCCACAGAAGCTTAAGATTGTGTTCTCTATGCCCTAGCAATTCTACTCTTGTTTGTTTCATAGAAATGAATGCTTGTATACATAAGAATGTTTCTGACAACTGTTTAGCTCCAACTGGGAAAAAGCTGTCCATCTGCCATAGAATGATATACAAGTTAGTATACAATGAAATACTATGCAACAATAAGAATGAATTGCTGCTACACACACGAACATGGATGAATATTACAATATGCTAAGTGAAGGATGAGATGCATGACTTCTTTCATGCAAAGCTTAGAAACAGCCAGAACTAAACTACAGTGGTGAAGGCTACAAACTTCATCAGTAGAACTATGAAGAAAAGCTAGGTTATGAGCATCAGGGCAGTGGTTAGTTCTGTGGGAAAGCAGGATTGGGAAGGGGTAAAAGGGCACCTGGGGAGTTGGTGGGATGTTTCATGTTTTGATCTATGTGATAGTTATATAAGACCGTGAGATAAATCACTGTACTTTTTTGTTTTCTGCACTTTCCACTAAGGATATAAATAGGAAAGAAAAGAATGTTGATTATATATCTTGGCCCCAAAAGGCTGAGAGCAGAAAGGCGCCTCAAGAAGGGGAAGAGGGAGACATAGGGGCAAGACAAAGAATGCTTTCCATATTTCAGTGCTGGCAATGGTGTTATAAACTGTTATTAGACATGAATTTTATTGCCTGATAGAGGAAGAATCTGTAATGATGCTAGGCTCAAAAAGTCAAGACTTTTAAGTCTATTAGGTATAATAGCTAACTGAAAATAATTTATCTGCACTTTATGGGGAAACATCAACAGTTGTAGAGGTAGTAGTGGTGGTTGTTGGTGGTAATGGTTATTGTAATAGCAGTGCTGGTGGTAGCAGTGGTGGTGGCAGTGATGGGGGTAGTAAAAGTGGTAGTGGTGGTGGTGGTAGTGATGGTGTAAGCAGTGGTGGTAGTGGTGGTGGCAGTGATGGGGGCAGGTGAAGCGGTAGTGGTAGCAGTAGTGGTAGTAGTAATAGCAGCAGCCATACAGTAATTATCATGCCAAGCCAATACCACTCACAACCTTTTTTTCTCCTAGCTCATTTACTTTCCTTTGCTATTTAGTGCCTGGTTTAGAATTTAAATGGAAATATTTGTTTATCAATCTATCTGCTTTAGCCTCCCAAGTAGCTAGGACCACAAGCATGTACCAGTACACCCACTTTAAATGGGAATGTCTAGATGAACAAACAGAAATATCTTTGAGAAGAAGAAAACATGGAAACTAATGGATGTTTACTATTTAAGAACTAAGATAAGTATAATGGCACACACCTGTAATCCCAGCATTTGGGAGGCTGAGACAGGAGCTTTGCAAGTTTGAGGCCAGCCTGGGCAACTTAGCAAGACCCTGGGGATATACCTTAGTGACAGAGCACTTGTCTGGCATGTGCAAGGCCCCAGGT